TTGTGGATCTGAGAGAGTTGGAATCAGAGAGTTGAGGTCCATATGGCCAGAGATCCAAAGCTCAGATAGACAGCATGACTTTCTGAATCTTTCATACTGCAGGAGGGGGTACCAGGTTATAAAGCTGAAGAGTTTGGCATGTTTGGAAACATCTCTGGAGGACACAGAGTTCGCCAAGTGTCCATGTGTTTGGCAGGTGTATGGTATGGAGGGAGGTGGTCATGTCTGCCCTTGAATATAGTCTAGGGCTCAAGATGAGGGACTGGGACTCAATATGGTGGTTGTTAGCATAAGCTAGAGGCACTCACACATTTTACCAGAGTCCAAAGCCCCGAAACAGGAAACATCCTGGGCTGGAGGGACTTGTTAAGGTATTGTGACAATATTTTCACTGGCATTATCAAATTCCTGCTGGATTCTTTAGCCAGAGCTTTACTTCTCATTCTGTATCTCGACAAAATGTAGGAAAAGATCATCTTTTTCTCAGTGTGGAGTGGAGTTCCTAACGTCTCTGTGCTCTGCCTGTAGCAAAAGCCTGGCTTCTGCTCCCAGCATCTCTTCATGTGATTCAATCTCCTTCAGTTTAGTTAGTACATCATGTTTCTGCTAACATAGTCATTTGGTTACTCACTGTCTATATTATATGAAAACCAGTTTCCCAGGCTATGAATGTGGCCCAACACAACATCATAAAATTATTTAAGATATTATGAGATGTTAAAATTATATTTGTATCTTCAGGGCTGGCTGCAAAGTCCTCCTCTGTGGCCTAACAGACTGCTCCTCCCCTGGGGGGGGGGGTCAAACAGCCTGCCCTTGAGATCCTGTTAGAAATAGTCCCTGTTCCCCTTACTTTGGAAAACTACTTGGTTACTGAGCTACCACAGGCCACATCCGAGCAGAAGTTCTAGGTTATATCCATAGATACCTGATAAAACAGGGTCAGATGAAAGGGGAGGAGGTCCTCCCCTATCAGGGGACTTGGAAAGGGGCAGGGAGGAGACCAGGGAGGGAGTGTGGGGTTGGGGAGGGAATGAGGGAGCGGGATACAGCTGGGACACAGAGTTAACAAAATGTAACTAAAAAGAAAAATAAAATAAAAAAAAGAAGAAAGCAAACCCTAACAGAATAAATAAATAAATAAATAAATAAATAAAAAATTAAAAATTAAAAAAAGAATATAAAAAAGGAATAGAAAAAAATTATATTTGTATTCATTTGACAGTTTCATATATTTTTATCATTTTCATCCCCTTTCCAATCCCTCTTAGATCTATCACTTTACATCCAAGTTTATGTTCTCTCTCTCTCTCTCTCTCTCTCTCTCTCTCTCTTGTCTCTCTCTCAGCTCTCTTAAAGCCTCAAACTCAGTTGCACAAATATCTTGGAAGTGGAGCCCAACCTGAAGCCTTGCAGACTTTCTAGGGTCACACTCTTAAGGAAAACTCACCCTTCTTCTTCCATAAATTATCAAATACCAAAAGCTCCTCAGTTGAGGGTAGGAATTCATGTTCATTTCCCCTATGCAATGCTAGAATTTAGTGTGACTTGAGCTTGCACAGGTCCTCTGCATGCTCTTACAGATGTTGTGAGTTCATTCTTGTAACTGCCCTGCTATGTCAAGAAATGCTCCTTCTTTGTAGTCATTAACTACCTCTAGCTCTTATAATTTTTTCTGTCTCTTCTTCTTCTGCAATTATTCCAGAGCCTTGAGAGAAGGAGCATGATATAAAAGATGTCCTATTTATGGTTAATCACTTCACTTATTGTCTGCCTATTGACCAGTTGTGTGTCTCTGTTTCAATTACGTTTAATGTATGAAGAAGCTTCTCTTAGAGAATTGAGAGATACACTAACCTACGGGTATAGCAAAAAGTCATTAGGAGCAATTTTAATGTCTTTTTAATATTATAATTTTTAGCAGAATCATAGTAGTACGTTGTCTCCTAGGGCCTGTGACCTATCTGGATATAGCTTCTTGGCTTCAATAATGGTACCAGGTATGGGTTCTATGTCATGAAGTGGGCTTTAGACCTAATAGGGAATTGGTTGATTTCTTCTGTGACACTCATACCACTATTACACCAGGGAGTATATTTTTCCAAGCTGGTCATTACTGTAGATTACAGGCTTCACCCATGGGCAAAATTGTCTCTTCCAGTAGTGTTCATAGCACCTGATGAGACCTTATACACCTTACAGCACTGTGTGTCATCTTTAGCCATAGGTCTTTCCATAAACATCTGGAGGGTCACCAAGAGTAATGGCAATAGCCTACAGTATTTGAAATAGAGTTATGGTACCTCACTGATCACAACTCAACAAAAAAAGGTAACCCAGTTTTGATACTGGCATTTTTATTTGTTAGCATGTGGTGACTGCTTGGAGATTTTCTTTTCTTTTCTTTTCTTTTCTTTTCTTTTCTTTTCTTTTCTTTTCTTTCTTTTTTTCTTTTTTTTTTTGTAATTTGATTGTGTGGCTTTTGAATATGAACTTCGTGGATGACAATGTCAGTGTTTGCACAGGCCTGATTGACTATTGTACTTGGTAGGGCATAACCAGGAACTAAACACGAACCAGCACGCTCTTTTTCTCTTTCACCTTCATGTCTTAGGGGCTGAGTGGAGAATATGGTTTTGAAGCGAGGCCAGAAAGTTGTGCTTAAGGGAAGAATTTGAAGAATTGTGGGAGCACTCTAGTTTTCTGTCTAAATGATACTAGGGCACCCTTCATAGCAAGTTCATTCTTGGTTCTTAGCATTGGATATTTTCTCCACAAAGAGGGAATCCAGCAAGCTTTCGGGTCATTGTTTCCCCAAAGTCAAGATAAGGAGCCAGATGTGTTGTTATGCACTATGGAAGGGAAAGAAAGAAAAATAAAACAGCAAAAATGAAGAAACAAAATAGAAAGGCTGAGAAAATATAAATAAAAAAGAGTGCAAAGTTTTATTGTCAACTGCTGCTGTCACCTCCTGGAACTACAGTCATATCTAAGAAATATGTGACATACTAATAGGAAGTAATTTACCCAAGGATGTTTTTGTGTCTGGAATTGCCTTCTCCGCTCGGCTGCGGGAACTTTGCGAGTGTATTTGCATGAGAGCTGGCTTGGTGCTTCAGAAACTTCCCAATTTGTGCACAATGTGACTTTTATAAGGCCATTAAACTCATCCTGGGGAAAAGTGCTCTGGAAAGCAATGACACACGGGATCTGGAGGAGCCCGCAAACGCAGATAGAGATGACAAAATGATGACCGTATATGCTCTTGGTTAAAGTGACTTTGAGAGCTGTAGTTTTTCAGGCACCCACCTGCCAATCAAGGATTTTCTCCTCTTTCTGCCCCTTGTGTATCTATTGAGGCCTGGGTTGACCATTACTGGGACCATCTTTGGTCCAGAAGACACTCTTATTTCTTCTGGCTGTGAATATCCTGAGAGCAGAGGGTAGAACCCATGCATATGTCCTGGCTTCAGGACTCAGCTCTCTGCCTGGAAACAACTAAAAAGCTGTTCTGGTCCCAGGACACTTCTGACACATCTCCATGGCCATTACAATGAGGCCATGTTCACAGACAGGAGAAGCATGGGAGGACCTTAAGCCCTTGTGAAACAATAGAGGCCACGGGGCAAGAGAACAAAGGAAAGGAGTTGAAGGGAGAAAGCACATAAAGAGAGTGATAGGAAAGAGGAATGAATAGCCAGGAACTGGAGAAGGAAAAGCAGAACGGAGTAGTCATTGAGAGAGTGAAAAGAGTGAAACAAACAAGAGCAGGTGTTGGGTGGAGGAAGGGAGGACACGGTGAATGAAGCAGAGGCAAAACCCAGAAACCTGTCTCATGAACTTACTTTGTTCGCGTGTCTTTGCTTGCTCATTCCTTAAATGCAAGCAAGGTGATCAGAATATTGAAGGTGCAAATTCACCTGTAGCATCTATGGTTGGATACATGCCTGCCAGGGTTGGCTTTGCCCCAGGGAAAGCAGACAGCAGTTGACCATATTGAGGATGCCTGTAAATTATCCTGTTGAGTGGTGTGTTAGGCCTTTTTACCATTGGCCTGAGAAGCATGAGGCTGAGAGCTGCTTTCTCCACGGCTGGAACAAATTAGCTAAGAATTCCTGGTGTGGAGACAGTTGGAGTGGTGGGTACATGACTCTTCAGTCCTATCACCCAACTGACAGCAGGACAGGAACCTTTGGGTCCTTTCTTGGTGGTGTCTACATAGGAAAAAGGAAAGGAAATAGATTATGGGGCCTTTAATTGGAGCTCTGGCCTGTATATATCTCCTGTGTCCTAGCTTGGGAAAAAAAGAAATGAACCCTTTATCAATTTTTAATAAATTGAAATGACAAATAATCCATTTAATAAATTATTAACTGAGAAAATTACTGAAAACTGAAATATCAAACAATCGTGAGCAAATGCTCGAAGCAGCGTGTTTATTAATAACTCACCCTGCTGTGGGAGAGTGCTGATGTGCTCGATCCCACACAACCGCTGGCTGACCCCATCCAGGCCCAGGGCATTGGAGACCTCGATCTTCACCTCCATAGGTGCACGCTCCATGCAGGTGTGCATGTGGGGGTGTCAAAGACAAAATGAACCTGCAGCCGGCGGATCAGGGGCAGCTCAAGGGTAGGAGGAACCTGCCTGGACATGGCACCTTGGCTGACCCCAAGGAGTTTCCAGATTCTTACCTGTAAAGTTGGAAGAGGGCCAAATCTATTCTTGCTTTCAGGGTTTAGTTATTTAAATTAAGATCCATGCTCTCAGGTTAAATTACTTATGCATGTTTCAAACAGGTTGAGGCTCCTTACTCCCAAACCATTGCAACTGAAATCATTATAAGCTGAAGATATCTTTACTATATTTAACCTATGGAATGCCTTAGCACTACAGCCTGCAGTTAGTCATTCTAAGCTGCCATATTGCATTTATGCAATGGGGACAATTTGGTGACCTGGCATCAAGCCATCCTGTCTGTTATCATCCCTGTTTTACAGGTAAAGGAAAGAGGAGTCTGAAATGTCAACAGATGGGTTGTCTTCTCTTGGGTTCATGGAGCTGTCTTGAACCTGTGCCTCTACGGTCAGCATTGGTAGAAGGACGTTTTCTGCATATTGTTAGCTGGGAAGGAGACCTAAATTCAGTTCTATGAGAGTGTGTTTTTCTTCTGCACCACTATGAATTGGAACTATGGTAAGTTGACCTGTTGTAAATGGGATAATCTGGATAGAGGGGCAGCGCTGAGGTAATTGGTGGCAATTAGAACCAGCAGAACCACTGCCCAAGGGAGGTTTCATGGTCTACAAGCAACTGGCCTAGAACATGGGATGAGGGAAAGGATTTAGAAATGTAATGTAACGGCTGGGAAGGCTGAACCCTGTGTACAAGAAGTGGTCAGCTTCTGCTAAGGCTGATGTCCCCAGACTGTCAGGCTGGTTCTATGTGGACACAGTTTTTTCAAGATCTCCCTTTGCCATCTCAGAATTCTTAATGTAGTCATACAGATCTGTTCAGTGTGACTGACATGCTACGGGAGGTGGGTAGGAAGTCCCCTCACTGTGTTTTGAGTCATTCATGTCTGAATCACTCCCATAAGGGACAGGAGGCACTGGCACCCCTAAATGCTTCACTTTTCTAAAAGTAACCTAGCCTTGCCTCTGCTTTTGCCTGGATTTGGAAGCCTGGAAACATTCTCCGTTTCAACCCTGATGTGGGACTTGGGGAAGTCAGGTCAGCTGACCTCCTTGTGTCCTAGTTTCTTTATCTGTAAAATGGGGATAATAATAAACAGGGTAATTTGATGACTGGATTGAAACAGTCCCATTATATAAATACAATACGGCACTTTGGGATGCCAGGCTGCATGCTCTAAGTTGGTGCTGCAGTGGGTATTTTTAGGAAGGAGGAATGGGGGAGCAATGGGTGGTTTATAAATGTTTGTTACATTAAAAAATGTGCGAGTTTCAATTGTGCGGAGCAGAGTATCATTTGTTTCTAGAAAAATTCACTGCTGTGGAAATGAATTGGTTTGCACTGAATATGCGATGGTTCAGAGAAAGGGATATTAACCCAATTTGCATTTCTTTGAACTGAAATAAATTATTGCCATGTTTGCATTAGTTGGGTCAACTGGATGTGATTGGGCATGCTGCCTGTGGGGAGGGCTAGCTTTGGGCTTGGAGCTTTGTGGCAGGGTCAGTGTGTGCAGATTGGCAAGCACCTTCCAAACTTGATTATTAACCTTTGAGTGACTGTGAGTTTTTTGGGGTCTGATGACAGCAGTATAGCTTACCCACTCTGTATAAATGAATTGTGTGCAGTTCTTAGTAGAGCTTGCAATGGGCCAGGGTCTAAGTCCCAACACCAAGGAAGGCAATGGCCATAATTTGATATGTTGTGGTTAGATCACAGCACAGACAGGGTGAAGCCCAGTTTCTGAAGCCTCACTTTATCTGTACAAACAAAACAGGACTTTTATTCTGAAGGGATGGCCCATCAAAGACAACTCCACTTTGTAAACTGTGAACCAGGGGCTTTGAACATTTCATACCAACATCAAATACAGTCCTAGCCAGAAGAGGGATCTTGACAGTACATGCACAGCCATATTTGTCTCCAGAATTGACTTTGTGGGCTGGACTGGCAGATCATGACCCTCTTCCTTTGTTTTTCCACCCAGTACCCTTACAAATTGCATGGTGATTCTCGGCAATGCCAGTGTCTGGGCTCCTCCAAACCCAACATTGGACCTTCTGCTGGGAGTTTCCCAGGCTCTACAGAGAAGCTCAGCTGCAGTCAGCATGGTTGTTGGTGACATGAACATCACTTTATTGCCAGAGAAATGAGGCATTGTGAGTAGCGGGCAATCTGACAGCATTGTGGAATGCAGGTGAGTAATAAAAACGATATGTAAGGGGGAAATGGGAGCTACATGAGAGGTGTACAATAGTTTCCATATCAGCTAGTTAGGCCCAACCAACTTTAGCAGTTCAAGTCTAAGCTTACTGATGGGGTGTGAGAGACCAGGGACAGAGAAAATCATCGCATCTCCCACCAACCAGGGCAGAGAAATCTCTGACAATTACCAAGAAGAGAATTTTACTTAACGAGGTCCCCATTTGAACACACGTTTTATTGGGAAGAGGCGAACACAGGAAAAGAAGGTGAGAAGCAGAGACTTAATTAAAAAAAAAAAAAAAAACTTAAGGGAAAGCCTCTTTTGTATCATTCCTCCACTTAAAACCCATTCACAGTGTTGCAGTGATTTCAGGTAAAACTCTTAATCTTAGGGTTTTGACCTTATTTCAGCACACAGCTCACTGCATCCTGCTGGACCAGTGCCACTGAGGCTTTGGTATTTCCATATGCTCTCCGACTCTAAATGCAATGGCCTTGAAGGTCCTCCTCCCTTTTAAAAATTTCCTTATTGATGTCAGGTCCTTTAGGCAATTTTCTCTAGTCTAGACAAGGCTCCAATCACGGTGAGAGCACCATATGTTGTTATAACTAGGAGGAGAGGCTGGTACTGACAGTCAGCCTATGGGCTCCTCAGAGCCTCGACCAATGCACTGCAGCACTATGGCTGCGTGTCCAGCTAGTCTGGAGGAACTTGAGAAAAGCATCTTGAATGTGTGGCTTCACACAGTGAAATGACTCCGTGGAAGAAATGGGGTCAGTCTCATTGTTCTGACTCCCACCCAATGCCTCAATTACTTCTATCACACACACACACACACACACAAAATGGCTTGTGTTTCCTAAGCTCATGCCACCTGTAAGGGGAGCTCTCACTGTTTACCTGATGGATTATTATTATTATTATTATTTTGAGGTGGAAATGAGTTAATAAATATAGAAAGCATGGCCTGGTACTCAGAAAGGGCCCAGCGATCTTAGCTGTTATTATTCTTCACAAGGGGGTTGAAATTTACCGAGCCCAGTGCTGTCCTTCTCAGTACAAAAGGACCACTATTGGCAACATTCTAGTGCTTCTGGAATATAGTCTCCAGAACAAGGCTGGGCTGGGTGAGCCTTAAAGAAATGAGTCAGATTTTGGGGGTCCCCTCAGAGCCCCCCCTCAGGCTTCCAGTGTTGTAAGATATTTGGTTGAATCTGGGAAACAGTAGTGAGGCAGGGAAGGAGGAAATGGCTAACAGAGACTGTGCCAGTGTCTGGCTAGGTCTTACTTAAGTTAGGGATGGACGCCATGCTGGGTAAATGAGGTGATGAATGTGTGAGTGCCCTGAAAACTGAAAAGTACTGTTCAAATGAGAAGCATTGTTGTGCTCATCTATTTCTCTTCTTTGTTCTCCCAGGGATTTTTAATAAGAGTTTCTTTGGAAAGTCCTAGCTTGACTTTCAATTAACTAAGGGGAAAGGCTGTGTACAGTGGCTGAGTTGGGAGGCCTCCATGCCCTGAGCCTAGCAGAGGTTCTGACTGGGAGAAAAGTACTTGTTGGCAGGAGGAACTGGGGTGTGAAAATGCATCTGACTGCCATGTAGAGATGGAATTCCTCTGATGTGAGATGTTTCCTAGTTACAGGGGTCATCCTACCGCTGTTCAAAATATGCTTAAGAGACAGGATGGCCTCTTCAGAAGAGGAGGAAAGAATGTGGCTGGAAATCAGCTGAGTATCATAGGAACTGCCCTGAATTCCTAAGTCTATGCTTCTAACTCACGATCTGGGTTGGCCCAGGGCACTGCAAGCCTTTTCCAGTTGCTTTTCACAACCAACAGAGTTGGTATGAGAAGAGGAGACTCCTGACCTTTAACATCAGTGATTATCCCTATAACCTGATTCATTTGATTGATTGGCTTCTGCCTCTGCTTGGCATGCACCTGCATCTTCTTCCCCACATCACCTCCATGGCAACAAGTCTAACAAATAAGTATTTGAAGATGTGAAGTCCAACTTCAGCACAAGGCACTAGCATGGCAGAGAGGTCAAAGCACCAGGCCAATTCCCAGGCAAATGTCCCTTAATTTGCAGCTGAACTCAGCCTGATTGTGTGCATATTCTTTTGTGGGGCAAAGGAGACTCACCTGAGAATCTGAATATTATCTGCTAAGGTTTCCACTAAGGCACGGGGCTGAAACCTTGGGCCTCTGAATGTATAAACAACAGGACATTGTATATAACCTTTAAGGGAAATTATCTGCATTATAAACTCTTTTCAGGTACTTCACTAGTGATTATACATAAGCAATAATACCTAGCATGGAGCAGGGAGCATGGTCTTTTCTCACTGGTTCGTATCTAGTAATGAGCACAATTCTTGTTTCATAGATAAGGCCAATCACATTTGTTCACTGAGTGGGTGTGAGGGGATGATCCTATGCAACCTTCCAAGCTTTTAGAAAGATAAAACCCAAGCAGGTTCTTTGTTCAATTGCCACTTGATTCCACATGGTTAGTCCAACCCTCTTATTTTCCCATACAGATAAGTATGATTTAAAGTGTGTAGCTGTCAAAATATTAGTGGTTAGAAAGTTCCGTGAACTGAAGATGGGCAGGAAAAACCCAAGTTTATTTTCATTAAGCTAGAAGAGCCGGGTGTTTAACTCTTACTATCTGAGTTACCTGTTCTGTCCAAGATTTATTGTGTCTCCAGAAAGCCTTCATTCATCCGTTCCCCATCTGCTTTTGGCCCTTTTCAGAGATTATTCAGAAAACAGGAAGAGACAGACCAAACCTATTGTCAAATGGCTTAGACTTTAGGGCCTGGTGAAATTATCTGTGAAAATTCTAGAATGATGAATGCTCTTTTCTTTTCTTTTCTTTTCTTTTCTTTTCTTTTCTTTTCTTTTCTTTTCTTTTCTTTTCTTTTCTTCTCTTCTCTTCTCTTCTCTTCTCTTCTCTTCTCTTTTCTTTTCTTTTCTTCTTTTTAAATCTTAGACCAAATAAGGCCTTTCAAGGGCACAGCCCAGTACAGAGAGGTAACCAAGCACTAGCTATGGCATAGGTGTTCTTATTACAACTGGAGCCTAGATGCTTCTGCAGCATGCAGAGTATTACTGACATAGCACTTCCCAGCCCTGATGCTTTCTTAAGGTGCCCCCACACCACTCTCTATATCTTGTGCCTTCCCTGTCCAAAGCTGAGAGCAGAGGGACACCTATGTTGCTCAAAAAGGGCAACATGACTACAAGCTTTCATTTTTAGTTTGGTTATACTGTCAAGAGCCTGGGTACCAAGGCGGTGACTTCAGATGGAGATGAGAAGAGAGGCAGGACATAGGGCCTATAGTTAGAAGCTGCCTAGCACAGGACCTTGCAGCACTTCTCTGAGAGGTCAGAGAAGATGCACTCTGACCTCATTTGTTCATGCGATTATTTTTTTATGCATTAGCTGTTTGGAAAGCACCTAGTAGGTGCAAGGGTCTGCAGATACACAGTGCACAAGACAGCCATGTCTTCTGCCTCATGGAAGTGGGATGAGTGTGGTGGAGAGGTAGTGATAATACGTAAGTCAACAGATAGCTAATATTTGTTCAGATTTTAGTACGTGTTGAGAAATGAATGGACCACAGCTGCAGCTGAGAATGGCAATCACAAGAGAAAGCTGTAAGCTATTTGCCACACTCTTCTGCCACCATCAACTGCCATCCTGAATGAGAGGAAGTAGCCTTTCATTCTCTGTGGCATACTGGCTGATCATGCCTACTGTCTGCTCCCATAATCTCTCCATTCTTTCTAACCTCTTTCACTCTCTCCGTTAGATTTACATTTTAGTATTTGGTTATGTCATACAGCTATGGATGAATCAGCTGAATTGGCCTTCTCTACCTGGCCAACAGATGGAGGGTCCAAATCTCACTTCCTCAATCTCCCTCATTGTCCCGTCAGCCCTCGCATCTCTGCTGCTCCCAGAGAAGGCTGTCACCATTCTTTCCCTTTCTTTCAAAATTTCCTTCTTGTAGTCAGGGCTTCAATTAACATTTCTCTGTAGAATGACTGCATTAGGCAAAAGTTTGTGTGGGATCCAATAAAACGTCAGATGATATTGAGCATAAGTCAGGCAGAGCCCGCAGCCCAGTAAGTTATTATGTGTAAATGATACAACTTTATTTTGAGGAGAATACATGTGTACTATCAAGCTGTTTTATGGATACGCAGCGTGATTGATTACAGTGTGTGGCTCTGTCGCAACAAGATAAACTCAGATCGAATAATCTGTGGATATTTAGGCTTCAGCAATTTGTTATCCAAACACAACTCGAGAAATGAGAATTCTTTCCATTTCACCTATTTCTCTCTTCCCCTCCCCAATAAAACTACTCCCAGAGTGTTGACTTTTGATGCCAGGAGTTGTCTTCTTGCTTGGGCACTTTTCTGGTCACTCATAGAAAGAAGGTCATGTTTGTATCAAAGCAGCAGCAGCAGTAGTAGTAACAGCAGCAACAGCTGGAGTTGGCCACAAGTGAGCATGTGTGTGTGTGTGTGTGTGTCAGTGAGAGAGAGAAACAGAGAGAGAGAGAGAGGAGAGAGAGAGACATGGAGGTAGGGTGAAGCTAAGGTTGCTGTCTTAGAGCAGCCTCTGTTTTAAGTTAGCAAACAAGCAAGCCTGAAAACCATCACCATGATTTGTTTATCACATGACATAGTTTGGGCAAAAATGGATTACATCAAGGGAAGGAATGTTTTGTCGATCAATCCCAAGCAACTTGTTGCTAAAAAAATAGCTATGGAATTCATCAGCACCTTTTCAAAGAATCGTTTGTCTGTGAAACCAAGAGTTGCTTGGGTGAACCAATCAAGCAGCAGCTTCCACCTCTTCGTCGAAGCCATCCCTGAGTAACTGAGGGCACAATGACCTTCTCTGGCTTCCTAAGTGTTGGGGCCTTTCTTTTGATGAGTCACTTCTGAGTACAGCTTTGATTTCT